GGGGAAAGGCCACCAGCCAGAATATCAGGAGCTCCATGCCTCGGACAAGGTGCCGGTTTTCCTGAGGAGACAACATCCTTTGATGAGCAGAACTATTTCCAGCGAAGATCCTACTCTTCTAAATGTGTTAACATGGGCTCAGTATTGCGTTTCTATTTCTGTGCAAAATGCCAGCACAGAAAGAATTTTCACGGTTGTGGGTAATCTGTGGTCAGACGGAAGCAACAGAATTGATGCAGGGCGATGGAAGGGGAAAGTTTTGTGGCCTTTTTTTTTTTTTAGATACACCTTTCACTTGTTTGGGATCACACAATGGATGGGTGTGTGTGTGTGTGTGTGTGTGTGTGTGTGTGTGTGAGAGAGAGAGAGAGAGAGAGAGAGAGAGAGAGAGAGAGAAAGAGACCACACTAGGAAGTATAAAGTGTAAGATATAATTTAGATTACCAAGAAAATGGCAAACGCGGGTGTGTGTTGTGTGTTGTGTGGCACCCTCCAGCATTTGTTGTGACAATACCTGACGCCTCTAGCTTGATTAGCTAAAGGTTTGCCGAGAGCGTGAAGGAGTCGTCACGCACATGGCTCCTGACAATTTACTGCTTCTGCTCTCCAGCTAGGACCCAGGCCCTGGTAGCTCTCCCGTCCTGCAGCCCCCCAGCCTGGCTGCTCCCAGAGAGCACGGTCCTAGGCGGAGGTGGTAGAGCTGGCCTGCGCGTCCCTGAGTGAAGGTCATCACCTTGGCTGTCCTGGGGGCATGACTCCCCCGTGGATTTCCGAGCGGCAGGGACGGGAGGAGTTAGATGGGCGGTCACTGTCACACTCACACACACAAATGCACACACACCAGGTGCCCTCACCGAGACATGGCGCACACGGCAACAGACACACACACACACACACACACACACACACACACACACACACAGCTCAACTTCAGGAACCAGATTTTCAGAACCAGGCTCCACTGGGGCCTCCTGAATCACTTGTTTTAAAAAATGTTCTAGGGTTGACCACATACTTTTACCCCCACGAGAGAAAGAGGACCGTGTAGCTCACGTCCTCAGCTAGCACTCACTGAACTGCTGGGAGGGGGGGTGTGGGGCCAGCAGCCAGGGGTGCAATGGTGAGTGAAACGCCGGGGACCCCTGCCCTCTGTGTCCGATACGGGAGCAACAAAACAAACAAGGGAAACAAAATGGATTTTAAAAAGCCAAATTCCTAATTAGAAATTCTGACACAGATTTCCATTTCTGGAAGCACAGCAGACGAGGTAGGGCGAAATACACTCCGTGCCTGATACCAGATGACTCCAGATAAAAAACACTGGAAAAACTTCAAAAATGTAGAACTCAGCAAGGAAATAAGAGATCCTTACTCCGAGGGCAATAGAGCAAAAAGGTGGGAAACAAGAAAGAGCCATGGAGGAGAGTATGAGTCAATCTAAAAAACAGCAATTCTAGGGGCTCCTGGGGTGGCTCAGTCAGTTGAGTGGCTGACCCTTGATTTCAGCTCAGGTCAAGATCTCAGGGTCCTGGGATCCAGCCCTGCGTCAGTCTCCCCCCCTCAGCGGGGACTGTGCTCCCTCCCTTCTGCCCCTCCCTCTGCTTGCTCTCTCTCAAATAAATAGATCTTTATTTATTGTTTGGGATCACACAATGGATGGTGTGTGTGTGTGTGTGTGTGTGTGTGTGTGTGTGTGTGTGTGTGTAAGGTAAATATTTATTTGAGAGAGAGAGAGCATGGGGAGGGGCAGAGGGAGAGGGAGAGAGAAACTTCAGCAGACTCCTTGCTGAGCTCTGAGACTGATGTGCGGCTCGATCTCAGGACCCTGAGATCATGACCTGAGCTGAAACCAAGAGTCAGCCGCTCAACTGACTGAGCCACCCCAGGGGCCCCTCAGATAAATAAATCTTAACAACAACAACAACAAAAAAAAACCCAGGAATTCTAGAAGGTGATAATAAATGTAAGAAAGGCAACATTTGAATTCGATGTTCTATATTGATATTTTATATAGTTTATTATCTATATTTTAAATATAAAATCCTCAAATGTGAATTCTTACACATTTATATTATATATACTATATATAAGATATATATTATAAGGTATATTATATATCAAAAAATAAATCCTCTTGGTTTGTTTCTATTATACATAAAATACATATTATATATAAACATAAATCCTCTTGGTTTGTTTCTCTGAAGAGCCCTGACTGATCTTTGTGACTTTGCCGGGACGGGGCCCCCATCTCCCCAGATGCCTCAAGATCCAACCTTACGGCCTCCCTATGCCCAGAGCCCTACGTGCATTCCCCAAATGCAGGGGCCAGGCCTCTGTGCTTCACCACGGCCCCCCAGAGCCGAGCCCGGTGCCTGGCACGACGCAGGCCTCAGTAAATACCGGATGAACGTGCCGTCGAGTGAATTTATTTGAAGACCCTCTCCTAATGCAGTTCCCTGACTCTGACACCGTCTCCCACTTTCTCTGCATATCATCCCACACCATCCTGAGGCCCTGACACAGACTCTTTCCTCCCCAGTCCCGCCCCACAGAAGATCCGTGACAGCAGAGACCACGTCCGGCCTCCTCACCGCTGGGAGACTAGTCCCATTCGGGAGCCCGGCCCACAGTATTGGCTCAATAAATATTCGTTGAATCAACGCAGAATAAATGCCACTGCGGGATTACATTTGTAAAATATTAGCCCCTACTCCCCCACCCCCTGCCCCCCTGCCCAGGATTTCTTTTCTTCTTTTGCTCTTTCCTTTTCAGTCAGCAAGGCACTTCTGAGCCCAAGCCTCAGGAAAAGACGTGGCAGCTGAAAGCAAGAAGAACACGTCTCCTGTGTGGATTTGCGGATTCAAAAGCTCAGGCCCTGAGAGGACCAGGAAGAACACACAGAAAGGGCAAAGATTTGGAGGAAATCGTGAGATGTCCCTGCTTCCCGGGCTAAAAAATAATGTTCTGAACAGTCAGAAGGAAGACACAGGTGGCAGTTGGTGGTGGTCCCCAGAGAAAGTAGTTTTGTCCCTGCTGGAAGCCACTGCTAGCTCGGAGGGCACCCTTGTGTGAATTAGGAAAAGTCACCCCTCCCGGGCTCACAGCTTGGCACCTGGAGCACAGACTGGATGCAGCCTTTCATTGGATCCTTCCCCCAGGTGCTCTTTGTGGAGTGCACAACCTGTACAACCGTACAGGACAGCCCTGCACACCTCTGCCAAACCCTGGAGGAGGCTAGGGAAGCTAAGACAGGCCCATGGGGTCTAAACACAGAGGAAATCTGTGCCTCCTGTCCCAGGTGAAGGCCTCATGGGGCAGGGGTGTCCCAAAGAAGAAGTGGCCCAGGCAGAAGGAGCCTCAGACAGCCTCAGGGTTTCCTCAAGTGCCTGGTGAGGACACTAAGTGAAGACCAGGTGGGGTGCAGCATCCCTGAGGACCACTGGGAACAGATGACAGCAACAGATAGCCACCTTCCCACCCTCACACACCACAACTTGGCACATTTACTAAGCCCTCTCAGAGTTAGCCAAAACCCCAGGGAAATGTGGAACCGGAGAGCAACCTCCAGGAGACTGTGATTAAGTATCTGCCACATAGCCACCGTGAGGATGCCAAATAGGAAAAACCAAGTTGCATTTTGTGCACGTCAGGGGTATAAACTGAGATTTTTCTACCGGCTATTCTCAACAAATATGTGTTGGATGCGTGCTGAATGAATGACAAATGGCTGGTACTTCTCGGCAACCCTAATTTTCTTGTGCTCTGATTTGATTATCAGAGCACCCGGTGCCCTGACTAGATTGTCAATTGCTTGAGGGCAGGGCCCAGCCCATTCAGCTTTAAATCCTGCACACGTATCTACATAGAAGTGCTCCTGGCCTGGGCATTCAACTGAAGGACTATATAAATGCATGGAATTTTCCCCAGACTCCATGATCAAAAACCTCCCCTCCCTTTGAACTCCCCTCCCCTTCTCTCCCACCATCTCAGATAGCAGAAGAACTCCCAAAGCCCAGAGCAGACCGAGGAGGGGGACACTTTCATGCTGTTGTGGATACCGCAGCATAGCCAGATGGATGAGCCTTTTAGGATTTGAGACATGTCTACACTAGCCGATGATCTCCGCCCTGTTCAGCTGCCGAGAACCTTGGTGTGGTCTGAGGTCAGGCTCACTGCAGGGGTTTGGGCCCCGGGGATTCAAGGCCAGGGTGACTAGCTCCCTTCCTGGAGCTTTACGGGGCTGAGGACTTGTGGCTTCCCGGAGTTGGTATACTGAGTCTTAGGTGCTGTTTGAGCTCCTGCCGGCCTGGGCGCTCCAATGGATTCAGGCCACCTTTTCCGTGGGCCCTGTCCACGGCCTCGGCTCCAGCCTGCTGCCTGGCTGCCACGGTCACATGCCAGTGTTTTATTCTGGGTCCTCACTGCAGTATCACACATTCTGTCCGTGTGCGCGGCATTTGTAGATATGGATCGTGGCCCCTGGCCTGTGTTTGTAAGTTATCCCCCATGCGTCTGACCTTTCTCTGTGGCCACAAGGTCAGTGCCCGCCACCGGCTGGCCACCTTTTCGTCTCCCCAGCTGGAGTCCCTGCTGCCTCCCCAGCTTTGAACCCAGCTTTGCCGCTCACTAGCCGGGGTCCGTGGCGTGTTACTGAAGTTGCCGTAACCACAGTGACCGCCTCCCCCTGGGTCCTCTCCTCTGGGCACCCTGCAACTATTTGCCTCTTACTGCAAAGGTCTGCTGAGCAGCCCAGCTCCCCCACTGGCCAGGGCTGTCCCCCCTCCTTCCCCGTGCCCAGCACTGTCGCCGCCACTGAGGGGTGATCGAAGGAAGGCAGCTTCCTGTCCCTCTCTCCTTCCTGCCCCATTCCCCTCCTCTCCTCCTCTCCCTCTGCCTCCGCCCCCCAGGGTCGTCTGCACACACGATCCCAGCCATTTCTTCCTTGGGGGCCCCTTCACTTGCTCCAGGAGAGGAAGGTCACCAGGCAGAGACTGTGATGCTGCAAGGTATTTTATTAAAACCAGGTGAGTCACTACATTCGCTGAGAAGGCACACTTATGTTCCCGACCCCCGCCGCCTCTCTTGGGATGCGTGTGGCTGTCCCTCTCTGTCCACCCCTCTTTCTCACTGCAGACAGACTTTGGGGCGGGGGGTGATGGGAGAACTTCTCTATGGCCGAGCCTTGGTTCACGGCTTGGATTTGTGATTAGAGGTGAGGGTGAAGGTGTGGTTGAGTTTGGAGGTTGGAGGGATTGGGTTGGAGTTTAGGAGAGAGGCGAATTAACACTGCGGGGCCACAGTGAGCAAAGGGTCACATGTCTCCTGGGTCCCGGGGTGATGACCCTCCACAAGGACCCCAGTCCCCAGGCAAGCGAAGCCACCCTGAACAGCCTAGCCCAGCCCCTCAGCCTCTCCCACCCACCTCTCATAAACAAAGCAGACACTCAGAAGCAAACTCTACACGGCTACAGGAAATCTAGGCCCACCTGACCCTTGGCCCCGGGGCCCGAGTGGGTGGGGGTGGGAGTGGGGGCGCCCAGGTGCTTAGCCCTGGAACCCCAGCTCCCTGTATTTGGCAGCGATGTCATTCCGGAACAGCTCCAGTGCCTTTTTCATGGCCGCATGGGTGTCGGCGCCGAAGTCCCCGGGGTGCTTGCTCTGCAGGACGTGGATGATGGCTTCTGAGATGAACTGCAGGGGGAGACAGAAGGGGGTGCCGGTCACAGGGGCGCGCACGCCAGGAGCCAGATGGGAATCAGACTGAGTCCCACCTTCTCTTTACTCCACGGCCATCTATCGAGGGCTTATTACACACCAGGCGTGCTTCCGAGGGGTCTCTATGGATTAATTCCTTCTCTCCCTACCACCCTGGGAGACAGGTGCCGATGGGGAGCCAGGCCCACCTCGGTGCAAGAGCCCAGGACACTGCCTCCATGCTGGCAGCAGAAAGGAAGGGAAATGCTCCTATTCCGTGGTTTTACCCAGGATTCCGCAGTCGGAAAATCTAGAAAGAAACTATTTCCATCTGTGTGTGTTTAATTTTTGCATTCGATGGATTAGTGTGGTTATTGCTCTAAGTAGCCTACTTGGGGGCTGGCGGGGGTGGAGGGCAGAGCATCATATTTTCTGGGCCAAGCACAGAACTGGTGCTCAGAATTACTGGTGGGCGGGAAGGAGTGAGGACGAGGAAGGAGGGAGGCCTACGGCTCGTCCCGGGGCCCATCCTGTCCCATACCAGCCTCACTGTCCCCACAAGTTCTCAGACACCCACAACGTCATTACCAGGAACATCTACAGCGTGGCTGCTTTAGCGACTGAAAGATCTCATGGGTGTAAAATGCTACTGGGCCTTTTTGACAGTGGGTCAAGATTTGATGCCAACCACAACTCTGGCCAGTGGACCAAGTGGTGTCGCTTTACAGAGGCCCAGATGGGAAAGTAGCCAGACTGAGGTCACACAGCAAGTGGACAGCAGAGCTGGAATGCGCACCCAGCGGGCTGTGGGCAAACGGCTGCCAGAGCCAGGGACAGAGGCAGGGACAATACCTCGGTTGGCTTTTCCCAGTTTCTCAGGGCGCCCCGAGTGCGAGTGACCACAGGCCGGTAACGGGGGGCACATGGTGACAGAGGCCTCAGGAGGCACACACGGCAACAGCCCGTAAACACGGTTCTGCCTAGAAATAGGGACAGCGGGGCGCCCGGGGGGCTCAGTTGGTTGAGCGTCAGACTCTTGATTTCAGCTCAGGTCATGATCTCAGGATCGTGAGATCGAACCCCGCATTGGGCTCCACCCTGGGCATGGAATCTGCTCCAGATTCTCCCTCTCCTTCTGCCCCTGCACCTCCCCCATGCTCTCTCTCTAAAAAAAAAAAAAAGAAAGAAAGAAAGAAAGAAAAGAAAAGAAAAAAAAAAAGAAACAAGGACAACTCCACTCCTCCAACTCCTGCCTTTGGGCATCGATCTGGACATATGTTTAAGTTCACCTCTAATGTCATAAATGTCACAAAACAAAGTGGGGGTTCAGGCTTCCATGAAGTCAACCCTGCCCCTGGAAAATGTGGGAGACCCAGGTTCTAGGCTCCGCTCTGCCGTGACCCCCATGGGTGACTTCACCATAAAACAGGGGCTCAGCTGACCCCATCGGGTCCCCTCACTCAGCCTTTTCTGAGTCTGGGGCACAGCCACTAATATCCAGGTAAGGGTGGGCTCAGGCAGCCGGACAATTGAGAAAAGTTGCCCTTGGCACCCAGCCCCCTCTGCGGCCCCCTCACTCCCCGCCGGGAAGTAGCAGCCCCCTAGGAAGAGCACGGAAGGAGGTCCCACAGTGAGCCAGGAGAGCAGACATGGGGCTCCGCCTTAGATTCTGCAGGGATTTACGCAGTAAATGAAACTTGTTTTAAGTAGACCTGGGTTCTACTCCACTTGGATACATCGTTTTCTCTTTCTGAGCCTGCTTCCTTGTCCCCCTAGAGGGGAGGGGTCATTCAAGTTATATTGTGAGCCCACCACATGCCACCAGGGTTCAGAAATGGGAGAGCCAGGGTCTGCCCTTGGGGAGCTCATGCCCCAGCCAGGAGACAGCTGGGTAAAGAGATAAATCCCAGTATAGCCGGGCAGGCGCCATGACAAGGGATGAGGATAAAGCGGCTTTGCAGGGGGGAGACGGGGGGCGCCAGTGGATGGAGCAGCTGACAGCCACGTGCAGAGGGGGTGGCTTCTAAGTTGGGCCCTGGAGGATGGACAGGGGTCTGTTGCCAAGAGAAGATGGGGAGGGCAGGGGCCGCAGCATACGCGGAGTCTCAAAGGCAGGACCCGCTCCTCAAGGGCAGGCAAGGTTGTCTCTGTGTGATTTGTGGGGGCAGCTGGAGTGCAGGGAGGTTTGGCTGAGAGGCTGAAGACAGGGGCGGTGGTGGCTGATGGGAGACATTGTGCCACAAGGGATTAAGAGCTTGAGTTCCCGAGTACCGTAGGTCAGACTGTACCTACTGGCTTATTAGCTGTGTCACCTTGGGCAAGCTACTTAACCTCTCCGAGACTTCAGTTTCCAAATCTGTAAAGTGGGTATGAAGAAGGGTACCTGCCTGGCACAGAGTCTGCTAACTGCCTGCCCCATGCCCCTCTTCTCTTTCTTCCTTGGTAACAGAACACCAGTTGTAGTTGGAGTGGCAATAGACTACAATTCCCAGCTTTCCATGCAGGTGGGTGTGGTCTTATAACTAACTTCCGGCCAATGAGATGTAAACAAAACCGCTGGATGGGATTTCTGTGACTCCTTAAAAGAGAGCTTTCCTCTCTTCTCCTGTTTCCTGTTTGGAACATGGACCAGATGGCTGGAGCTCTAGCAGCCATCTTGGACCATGAGTCAACTTTGAGGACTCATGCCAACTTTGGCAGCATGGAAAAAGCCTGCACCCCTGGTGGCGGTGGGGCCCCCACACCGGCTCTGGACTCCTTACCTCTGAACTTCCTTTGTGTCAGAGAAAAAGAAGACCCTGAATGCAGTTCCTCACCTCGGGGAGACCGTGAGAATTCCATGCAGTGATGCAGGCGAATGCTTACCAAGGCCCATCCTCACTGGTAGCTATGACCATGATCTCTATGCTCATCACTGCACCAGCCTGTCTACTGCTCCCATCCCCAGGGGTTGCACCTATCCTAAGGCCCTTTATCCAGATCTCAGTGCTCCCTCCTGCCACACCCCTCCTGCCTGCATCTCAGGCTCTCTCCCCTGCCCACCCAACTTCTCAGCCCATCAAAGGAAGTTCAGACCAATTCCCCTTGCCTAGGACACCATGGCTCTCTCTCTTTTCATCTGTAAAGATGCTGGAACCAGTGGCGCCAGCCTGCTGGCCACCCCACCCCCGGATGGAGCCCCAGCTACTCTACTGCGGCTCCCTGTGGCACAAGGGTTAGGAGCGAGGGGTCTGGAGGAACAGAGCCCTAGTCTGAATCCTGGGAGTGTGCCAGGGACAAGCTATCGCCCTCCCTGTGCCTCAGTTTACTCATCTGCCCAGTGGGTACGATAGTGCTACCTTCCCGTGAAGGGGAATACAAGGGGTGCTCCCAATATCTGCTCTTTCCTTCTTCCCCTAGATGACAGAGTGATTTGGGAGAGAAGTGGGTTTACTCTCAGTGACCCCAGGAGGAAGGCAAAGTGGGCAATAGCCCATTTTACAGATGAGGGCCCTGGGGCACAAGGAGGAGCATCGTGGGCCGAGCTGGGACTCGAACCCAAATCGCATCCCTCCGAGGCCTGTCCTGCCACCCTCCCACCCGCCCCTGCCCTGCCTCCTACCTCCAGGTACTTGATGGGGATCTTGTGCTTGGTGGCGTGTGACTGGGCCAGGGGCTTCAGCTCAGCATCGTGATGTCCCTTCTTCTTGAGGATGCCCCCCAGGGCCGTAAGCACCGTTTTGCCATGCTTCTTCAGGTCCTCTGAACGCTTCATCTCGTCCTCTGACTTCAGGTGCTTGAACTTGTCAAACTTCTCCAGGGTCTCAGGGTGGCCCTTAAAGAGCCTGCGGGCACAAGGAGGGCAGGAGTCAGACACAGGAACACGCCGTGGGGTCTGGAGGTGGCCGGACACGAATGCCAGGCTGGGCTCCCCTACTTCCCAGCTGTGTCACCTTGGGCAGGTCACTCTACCTCCCTGGGCTTCTGCTTCCTCATCCAGACATCCAGATAACGGGTCCCTGCCCATAGCAGCAATGCTGTGACTAAATGAGAGCATATGCACCAAGCACACGCAGCGTGCTATACAAAGGCTCAGCTTTATGATTTTTCTCATCCTCATTATCTGCGTCTTCTGCATTGCTACGGTGAGAGGCAGGAGGGAAGGATGTGTCTGCGTTGGTCCCTGGCTTCACCCCTATTTTCTCTAAGTTGTTTGGAGAGTAGGTGACTAACTGGAATCGGGCAGAAGAGGGGGACATGGAGGCACCAGGGCCGGAGGACCCTGGATTTGTTGAGTACCTCCTGTGTGCACCTCCCTTTAGGGTCCCACTATTCCCATTTTACAGATGAGGGAACAGAGGCTCAGAGGTGTGAAGGCGTAACTCAACATTACAGGGCTGGTGTGCAGAAGGGCCAACTGGAAACAGATCAGAATGACTCAAAAAATAGACCATGCAGGGAACTACCTTTGCAGTTTCCTACCCAGGGATTATCCTTCAGTTGCTTGAATACTTCCAGATACAGGAGACTCACTACTACCTGTGAGGACCATTCCACTCCAGATTAGCTCTTGGGCTCAGAAAGCTCTTGCTTGTTTTGCTCAGACTCCCTGTCCCTCCCAGGCTCCTCACAGTACAGACAGTGAGGCCCCGGGGTCAGAGGGGGAGCCACTTGCCAAAGACCAGGTCCCCACTCCTGCCAGGGAGCCAGTGATCTGGCCACAGAAGGACTCTGCCCATGAACCTGAGCAGCCACCTGTAACCTTGGACCTCAGTGTTTCCTGCTGTGGAAAGGTGGGTGTTGGTTAAAGGGAGTCCTACCTGCCGCCTAGATGGGAGTGGTTCTCCCCATTTCCCTTGTGGGTGAATGGACCACAGAGGTAAGTGACGTGCTCAGGGTCACACGGCTGGCTGGTGGCAAAGCCCACAGCAGAGACTGGATGGTTCTAGAACTCATGCTCTCTGTCTCGTGTCACACCCGGAAATGTTTCCAGGAGAGACCCTGTCTGCCCAGGCTTTCCCTCCTCCTGTCTAATGGCTTCAGGTCCTCAGAAAGTTCCTCTTTCTCATAGCTTCTGCCACACCTTCCAGCCCTGCTGCAGACACACTCCAGTTTGTGGAAGCATCTCCTAGCACACACCCTTATTCACATGCGTGCACACCCAGACACACACAAGCGTGCACAGGGCAGCACCAACAGGGAGCACACCCTTCTCCCGGGAGCGAATCCCTCCTGCTTCCCCAGAATGCTCAGGGCTGTCCACGCCCTGCCCAATGTCACCACCTCACCAACCCCTGGCCCCGGCCCCGGCCCTGGCCCCACCAAGCCATGTGTGTCACTGACAGCTCATCTCTGGCACTTTTCACCCAAGGGTCCCTGAGCTCCTATTCTTATCTGGTGACAATGATCCCTGCCTGGCAGATGCGAGACCTAGTACCTACAGGGGAAGGTTGGAGGTCGGGACACTGGAGGGAGCTATCCGGGGCAGATGAAGGCCAAGGGCTGGTACCCAAGGCAGCCAGGAGTCTCAGATATTCTGGGAGGCCCCCAGATGTATGGGAGAAAGAACACAGGACTGAGAATTATGGAAGCAGAGTTCTGGTCCCTGCTCTGTCTCCAATGTGCTCTGTGACATTGAAGAAATCACTCAACCTCTCTGGGTCTTGGTTCACCCATCTATAAAACAAAAGGGTTGGTCTAGCTGATATCTCAGCCTCCAAATTCGAAGGCTTGACCCCTGCCTCACCTTCCACTCTCCACCAATGAGCTGGCAAGGGAGCCCAGATTTGCTTTCAACAGTGCAGGAAAATTGGGCTGATCCATGCCCACCAGATCATTCTGGCACCACTCAGCCACCTCTCTCCCTCGGCCCACAGTCCTGCCACTGGGAGCCCCAGGCAGCCACAGAAGGCCACACCTGGATTAACCTAACGACAGGTCCCTGCGAATGGACAGAGGAAGCCCTCACCGCGAGGAGAAGGACGGACGGATTTTCTCTACTGTTGCAGAAGCCCTTCCTTGCCTCGTGTTGTCATCTTCCATCATATGTCTACCTGCCTGGCCTATCACAGGCCTCAGGCAAGTCAGCGAGAAAGGAGGCCACCTCCCAGCCGTCCTCTGAACTGAGGCCTGATTGGACGCCCACATGGAAGCCTGGGCCTCCAGAGCAGAGGTGTGATGAGGGAGGGTCCATGCTGCCTGGATTTGAATTTCAGCTGTGTGACTTTGGGCAAGTTACTTAACCTCTCTGTTCAGAGTGCTGATCATAATATTTACCTCATGAGGCACTTGTGAGGCTTAAGTGAGTTAATATGCATGAAGCACAGAACACAGGGCCAGGCGGTGTGTACCGCGTAAATATTTGCTGTCCTCCCCCTTCCTCATTGCCCCTACCACCATTATCACCGCCGTGGCCACCACCGTCTCCGATCATTATCATCATCGTCATCAGGTTTGGGGTTCTGTCTACAGCCGCCCCTGGCTGGCCGAGACCCTCAGGCCATGTTTCCTCCCTGTAACATGAGAAGTGTTGGCCACCAGCGGTGATTTTCAAACTTTTCATGGCCTCAAAATTCTTTGTCCAAATGCAAAAATAAAACAAGCAGAAAGTTTGGGCAGGAGAAGGAACGGCAGGGGCACACTCAGCAGCCCCCTCCCTCCTGGACCCCCACTCCTGGAGTCAGGCTCTCCAACCGACCTTCTGGCTTTTATGTTCTAGACCTTTATGATCATGTACTTGGAGTGAAGCCCTCTGTGTTTTATTAGCAGGCTCAGCCAAACAGAATTTGCTCTCTTTTATAATCAGGGGAGTAGGAGAAATGACCTTGCCAAGGTCAGTAAGGAAGCCCAGGCTCAGCATCTGGAACACAACCAGGAGCCCAGCTCCCACAGAGGCACATGCAGCCCTGGGAGTTAGCATCCCCCCTACAACAGCCCTCTCCACACAGGGAGGCCCATCTCCCCAGACCCCAAACACTAAGAAGGCAGAACCAGTTGGCATGGTCTCTGCATGTCCCACGGCCTAAGACGTGACAAGACATTGGGCTTTCTGGGACCTTCCAGGGGCTGGTGTCTCAGGCATCACATCTCATCCCTGGCCCTGGCCCTTGGCAGGTCTCCCTGATCCACCCTGAGCAGGGAGGGAATGTTTCCCCTGATGACCTAATACCCCCAGTCTCCTTCAAGTCACTGCGTTGGGGGCTGGCAGCCCCCAGATTGCCTTGGAGAGGCTCGTGCTCGGCAAACTGGTCCCCAACCCCAACTACCCTCCCTCTCCTCTTCAAAAGCAGGGGAGGAGCATGGGTCCAAGGAAAGCCAGGGCATGAGAGCAGAAATGGACCCCAGAGACTCTGGCAGACAATCGTTTCATTCCACCAATAGGCAAACAGGACCCAGAGAGGAGGAGTGATTTGTCCAAGGTCACACAGCAAACGTGGCTGAGGAGCTGATATGTCTTGCTGTCAGGGGCAGGAGGAGAAAGACAGAAGGGAACACCTCCATGATGCCAGTCAGAGGCAACAGAGAACTTGACCATCCTTCCCCAGGTGTTTTTAGCATGGACCACTAAGGGCTCCGACTTCGCATCACAGAGCTCACGGGACTGGCCGTTCTCCCCAGACGTGGGACCTGGAAATGAGTGAAGCCCAAGGGAGACTGAAAACGCATCTGAAGGGGGAGGAAAACGTGGCCCACAAAGAGGGAGGAACTCATCTGTAAATTAAAGTGTGAATGACAATCCATGCACTTTTGGCAGCTCCAGAGCCCACTTGCTCCCAGGTACAGAAATGTTGACTTACGCCCCATTAGATATTTGACTCGCACTGGCCCAGAGCATGAGAGAAGGGACCAGAAGAGGGGTCTAACACCATCTGTGGTTGAGGGCAATGGGAAAATAAAATCCCACGCCATCCTTTATGTACAGAGCTTAGAATTTTGTTTTCTTTTGTTTATTCAGGAACCCTTAGCTATAGCAGTGAAGATGCGCTTAGAGACCACCCCACTCAGAGCTCTCAAATTCAAGACTTCCTCAACATCAAATGTCACGAATGGGCCTCTGTCTTCTGTTTTCTAAGTATAATGCTGTGAAGGTCCTTAGTCTGGCTCCGTCCATAACAATTACTAACAACCTCTAGAACCTGCTATATTCCACGAACAGTGTCAGGCCCCTTACATGCATTATCTTATTCAATCTCACTTCCACTCTAAAATGTAGATATTAGCATATCCCCCCATTGTATAGGAGAGGAAATGGACTCCGAGAGCTTGTGTACCTTTCCAAAGGTCACACAGCTGCTCGGTGGCAGAACCCGTTCTAGAGCTGCGGGTCTCATCTTGAAGACCACGTCTTAGACTTGACAGTTCATAGCCCTTAACAGACTTGTGATATGGGGGAGGTCCTGTCCCTCTCAGGTCCATTTTGTCCCCAACCATTAATTGAAGCGGCTGGGCAAGATGTCTCAGGGCCTGAGAGATAACCTGTTAACTCTGTCTACAATTCTAGGATTCCTCTTGGTGGGTGCTAGGCATCCAGCATTTGAGCACCAGGCTTCTCCTGCTGCTGACACAGGCATGAGCTGGATCTCTTTTTCTCTCTTCCTTTCTGGACTCAAGTCCCTGACACAAGCAAAGGAGAACCCAGCAGGGGTTTTAACAAACTCAACTGACGCAGCCAACTGGTCAACCCCAGGCAACCATTCCACCTTACAGGCACACACCCTTGATCTTTGGGGAGTGGGTGACAGAGGCAATGGGATCTCTTCCTTTTACCTGATGAGGACCTCCTGCCCATGGCCCGCGAGGTCAGCCTCTACCTTCCCCCAGACGTTCAGCACCAACTGCCATTCCCCGTCGCTGAGCCCCATGGCGCAATCTGAGGAAGACAAAAAGAGCAAGTCCGGTCTGACTCGGTGTCCTGGCTCTGACAGCTGGGGTTTGAGATCGCCTGGCCCCAAAGGGATTTTATACTTTCCCAGAAGCTTGACACATATCACTTGACAGCTTGCTCACTCTCTCCTCCTCCTCCCCCTCCCTCCTTTTCATGCGGGGTCTAATCTTTTCCTTTCTGTAGCTCTCACATGGAAGCTATTTTGGGGCAGGTGCCATTTGGGGGGAGGTAGGACAACTCAGGCCACAGGGGCGTGGGGGTGTTTGTGTATGTGGCAAGAGCAGGGAGGAGGCTGGGCCACCGTCTGGAGTCTCAGAAGCCAGCAGAAAGGGCACCACCAAGGCCGACGCCAGCAGCCTGAAACTCAACGCTCCCTGTTGTCAACCATCCTAGGAGGAACTGTCATGTTTACAAGCTCGGGCAGCAGCACCCTGTCTGGCCCTGGGGCTGGCCTGGCCCTTAGCAGTCTCCTTGTCCACAACCCGCTCATTTTGCCAGAGTGCCCCTCATCCAGCCAGCAGTGGTAGGGAAGGAGCTGAGGCGGTTCCTGCTCATAGCTGGATGAGCCCAGACGAATCCATAGCCTCTTGGAGTCTGAGTTTTCCCACTCCACCCAGAAAACTCCTGGCTTCATGGCCTTCATGACCTTGCTCAAATATTTCCTTCTGAGAAATTTTGCTTGACCTCCCCCCCTGAGGCACAATTAATTTCTTCCTCTTTCCATTTACTTGTAGGTACTCCTGTTGTGCTGCTTCCTTCGTGGTGCCATATTTCGTAGTTTCCATGCTGGCTCCGCCATGAGTGTATGATAGCAGCCGATACACACTCTGAGCACTTCACATTTGGTAACTTGTTTAATCCCCCGACAGCCCTATCTCTATGATAGATATGACATTATCCTTGTTGAATCGAGGGGAAGTTTGGGAAACTTGCCATGGTCACATAGTTGATGGTAGAGAGCTGGGATTTGAACCCAGAAAGTCAGCCTCTTGAGTCCAGGCTCCTGAATACCTTATTTTTATTTTCAGGGCAGCAGAGAATTTATTTTATTCACTTATGTATTTTCTGGACCTCACACATGGCCCTGTGCCAAATTGGAACTGAATAAATGTTTGTTGAATAAAAAGATAGATGGCCTTTGTATGAAAGGCAAGTGAAGATGGTTGGCCTTCTTTATATTTACCCATCATCCATCTCTCCAACCATCCATCCATCTTCCCAACATCCATTTATCCATCTGTCCATCCATCCATCCACCCGCTAGTTCACCCATCCATCATCTGTCCATCCATCCATTCATCCATCCAACACATAGTTACAGAGTACCTACTGTGTGGTGGAAACCGCTACATGCCGAGGACAACAAAACTAGATGAACACATCCTTGTGTTCAAGAAACTCACAGTCCCTTGGGGAGATAAAAGGAATAAGCTTACAGTACAGTTGATACAGTGCTGTGATCTAGGTACACAGGCCCTTCCTTCCATCTACACAGGATTTTACAGTTTACCAAGTGCCTCCTTGGGCAGGATTACATCTGATTTTCACAATAGCCTTGCAAGGTAATGAGCATCACCCCATTTTATAGCTGTGAACAATGAGGTTCAGAAAGAAGCAAGTGTCCTGGCTGTCCTGGGTCTGTATTAGACATGTCAGGTATGACTATCCCACATACACAGCTCTTTCTAAAAGCAACTGCCCAGCCCTAGCCCCTCCATGACCACGTAGGTCGTGTTCTTCCCCCTTGCTACCCCCGTCAAAGGTGACTGGCCCGGGGCTGGCCCGTAACCTGGGGTAGCCAATGGCAGGGCTCTGTCCAACAGCCAGTGTCTACTAGCCACACCAAATCAGATCCTCTCTGCAAAATATGAACAGGGGCCTTTGGCAAGAATTGTCTAATTGGCAGGAAATGTGGCAGCGAAGAGAGTCCGTTTCATGGCCAGCACTGAGTAAGAACCCCAAACCGAGAGCCCTTTAGTGTAACCTAGGGGTCCAGAATTCACTCCATTCTCTGTCAAGCCCGGCCCAGTTACCATTTGGGGGTCCATGAACTGCCACTTCTTATAGGACCCTCGTGTGTCCTTTCGGTGAGCCCTATTTCTTTATCGAATCAGCTCATTCCTAACCAGAGGTGTCCCTCCCTGACACGATGTTCCAGGAGTCCCCACACGAGGCTCCCGTTAACCCAGGGATGCGGAGCCCATCCACCGTTCCCAGTGGAGGATGCTGTAGTAGAATGAGTAGCTAAAGATGCCACAGGAATGGGGCGAGGGGACGGAGGAGGGGGCTATCATTTATCTCTTCGTTCAGCAGGCCCATACTAAGGGCTTACTCCAGGCGAGGTCCAGGAACAAGAGGAAAGGCCACTTGGAGAGGGTCTGCCAAGGGCTCAGACCCTCAGCGGCTGCAGTGCTTCGTCCCAGTCACTCGCTGGAGGCTGAGCCCCACTAAGTGGCAGGGCAGGGCAGGGCAGGGCAGGGCAGGGCAGCGTGGGACCCCACCTGGCGGTAAGGGAACAGGGCCCTGGAAAGGATACGCACCCACCACCTGGGGCTGGTAAGCCACAACTCTGCCATCTCCAGCCTCCAAGCTGTCTAGGGACAGCCTGAGCATTTAAAAGCTCATCAAATCATTACCGATGCTAAAGTGTTTAATACTTAGCTGTCACCCCTTGGCAGTCGCCCCCATTAACTGGCGTGCTCCTGGAGACCTGTGGCTTTGAAGTCGTTGGACCTTTTAAGTTTTACCATTTAAGCTAATAAGAAGGAGCCGACATCTGTTTGCCCTTATGCATCTCTACAACAGAACAGGCATTACCTAACAGTTGCCATGGCTACCTGGAGTCGCCAGCTTTGTTTGGGGGCTATAATTATCCCTGCAACAGTCTTCAAATGGCCGGGGCAAGGAAGCTGGAGATGCACGAAATAGGAAAAACTCCAGCAGCCTTACACTCGCGTGTCACGCACGCACACGCACAGAAGCGGGCTAGTTTGACACCCAGCGGGGCAAAACTGCATCCCTCCAAGTTGGATGTGCCCCACCCTCTTTCTCCTCTCATGTCACAGGATCCTCTGAATGCAACAATCTCAGACGTATAGGATCATTCTCAAGTCTTCAAATTTTAGAGTCTTGAGATCCCAGAGTTGAAATTCTGGGGCGCCAAAGTCTTCAACTTTGGCCACTCTGGAAAGGGACTCTAGCTAGACTCCAGAGTCATAGACAGGCCGAGGTAGAGAAGTGTAGAAGGATAGGGCCCTCGTGTCTTGAGGCGAACAGAGGACTTTGACGGCATCTTGTCCAAGTTCCCACTACATGCAGGAATTTTCCCTACGGATCATCATCCAGCATCCGCTTGAATATACTAGGAGCAGGGGGCTCACTACCTAAAGCTTTAAAATGTCTCCTTTATATTGAACCAAAACATGCCTTCTCGTCTCGCTCACTCCCTTGTCTGTGCTCTGCTGGCTTTTTGGGGATACAGAAGACCAGTAGAGTCCCTCTCGTGAGGGAAGCTGCAGGCTCACTGAAGACTTTTCTGGTCCGTACTAACCATGCCCAGGATTTGAACTGAGCACCCTCCCCTGGCAAGGTAAACCAGGATCCTGTCTGGTCAGTCTTCAAGGCAGCAATTCTCGCCTCTCCTCGAGCACATAAAGAGAACTCTCGAGCAAGGGGTTTCTAGCACCTCCCCTCTCCCACTTCCACACACACACAGGTTTGAGTCCCCAGGTGGCTCTCCCCCAAGGACCTGGGAGTTTGCTGGCCCTTGGGCAGCCAACAACTCCCCACAGTGAATCTGGGGGATTAGACTTTAAGACTCCAGTGAGGGAGGATGTGACTTTGGCCCTTCAGAGCCAAGGGCCCCATCAACCTTGCCCACCTCCCTTTCTCCTCCTCCTCCTAGGAGCCGCCCCTTTGGAGGCCAGCCTGGGCCGTGCCTCCCTCCTGCCCAGCTTAGCTTGCTCCTTCCTGGCAGTCTGCCCTCCTGGTCCAGCGCCAGGCCAGACTCAGAGCAGACTTGAAGGGGCATCGGGACCCCCGAGCTTGCCCGAGACCCCACTCCTCCCAGCCCCTTGGCAGCCATAGTACTGACCAAGTCTCCCCTTCTCCCCAGCTGTCCTCTTGGAGCCTCCAGCCAAGCCGTGGGGCTGGCGGTGGGGAGAGGTGTCTTATAGCAGCCAGAGAAAGGCACAGGGAACTAAAAATACGGTTTACATGGCAAGGCTCCTCCTCTCTCTGGAGGCCTGGAGGGGCTTTATTGGAATGAGGCTGGCAGGGACACAAAGATCCCAATATCCCAATAACAGGTGTGGCCTGAGGACACGAGCCTTCCTCCCCCTTCTCTCCCCTCCGCAGCAGGCTTGGAGGCCTGGGGTGGCTCCTCCAGCCCCACTTTCCACCTGTCCCCTGATGCCGCCCAGCCCCACCCCCACCGCCCTCTTCCTCCCTCCCTCCCTTCCTGCCTCCCCTCCAGACCCATCTCAAAGAAACAGCTCCCCCTCCATGAATCCTCCCTGAACTCCACCCCCTTCCTAGCAGGTGTGCCTTCTCCCCAACCCCGCCCCAGGCTCTGTGCAGCCTTCTCTCTCCCACTTTGGGCTGAGCTCCCCATTTCTACCCTGCAAGTTTCCTCAGAAGCAGGCATACAAAAGCAACAGACACTCACTGAACTCCAGGGACACTGCCCCTCCCGGCAGCCCTTTTTGATAGACACATGTATCAACCCCATTTTCCACAAGAGCAGGCACAGAGAGGTTAAGTAACCACCAAAGTCACACAGCTAGGCGATGCCAAGCACAAAATTCAAACCCAGGCAGTCTGGTTTCAGAGTTTGTGCTTCACAGCTAGGGACCAGTCTAACTTTTGGATGCTTCTTGTTCTCCTCTCTCTCACCTTTCTGACAGCACATCTAGCAGAGAGCTGGGTCAGTGAGCTCTTTGAATGTGTATTTTACTGAACTGAGTCCATCCCAGGTCTTGGCTTCCCCGGAGGTAAAGGCAAAGGCAGTTGGGAGGCTGAGCACCAGGTGGCCCTGCTGCCATCTCGTGGCGGTGAGGAGAAAAGCCTCCACCTCTGGCTCTGCCCCTTCCACCAGGTCCCTGCCTTCACCCATCCACCCTGCCCGCCAGCCAGGATGGGGTCTCTTTCAATCTCTATATTCATGGCACTGACCAGGGATGGCTCTCCAAATGATTAAAAGATAAATAACCATGATCTTTGC